CTCAAACACATCCAAGCATTTGTATTTCATTATAGTTTAGTCTTGAGGCTAATTCTCCCACTCACTGCAAAGCTCCTTTATCCCCGCATTTAAACCATGTGAAAGATGCCCTTAAAAAGTGACTCCTTTTCAATTCTGTCTCCCTCAACACTGGCACAGTTGCTGCGCGCCTGTTACGTGCAATGTTTGTTTATTTAAAATGTTAATCTGCTCTCATTTTCTCTTGTTCCTCATCCCGGTCTCCCAGCTGACAAGACTTTCTGTGAGATGGTGAAATCAAACAAGCTCTGTGAAAAGAAGCTGTTTGTGCAGTTCTGCTGTCAGACGTGTCTTATGGCCGGGTAAAGTTCAGCGGCTGCATCCATCCAGGACTTCCACTGACTGCCAGCCCAGTTTTGCCAAATGTTTAGGACAAAAGTTTATTTTTTCAGCTTTGGGAGAGTTTACATGGTGCTGTCAAGCATTCGCTCGTAAGTTTGATAGCTTTAATATCACTGTCGGCGCGTTTCTATAGCAATATGTTAAGCAGAGATTGAAGCGTACCCTGAGTGATCAAGGCCTGGAAGCAGCAGACAAGTGGTGATATTAACACTCTCAAACACTCCTGGTGAGCAGGGACCAATGCATGATCCATGTACACACGCTTGGCTCTTCGCAGAAATCCTACTGATGAGGGAGCCCTCGCCACAAGGGAGGCAGGACTTCACACACCTGCGAGGAAAGAGCCGATTCTGGCTCGTTTTTGGTACCCTTTTGTGCCAGGTGCCAGCTGATCCAAACCGGCATTGCCAGCGCCGTGCTCTGTACATAAATAAAACGATGAACCAGGCGGCTCTGGAGCGGGCCCCTCAGCCCACTCCGGCACTCCTGTTCGGATTCGGTCGGTCACTGCTTCCCTCTGCCCGTGGCAATAACTGGAGGTTTGAGGACCAAAGCCAGAGCTGCCCCACGTGGCTCTGCAGGTGTGTCAGCCCAGCAGGGCATTGCCCTGCAGGTAACTGCAGCCAGGCAAAACCCGTGTGCCTGCAAGGAGTCGTAGGGTTTTGGGGGGGTTTGTCCACACGGACCAGCCTTACCATGAAATGTATATTTCCTTCCTGGAACTGCTTGTACATTGCTGATTAAGTCAGTTCTGGAACAAGCTAAATCCTTCCTCTAAACGAGATGTTGTCCCAATTAATCTTTCTTGGCATTTTGTGTTACGATCCTCCCCCTGTTTCGCTGGGTACACACCTCTCTCTCTCACAAAATCCTCCTGTTCATGGCAGTGATTTTTCTTGGGCATCTATTTCCCAAATGAGACATTCCAGGGATCCAGCCAGGAAACTTAATTTTACAAAACCCTTCCCCGAAACAAACCTTTTCACGCTCTCTCTTAATAGTAAGTCATGTGGTGTTTATATAATTGTGTTTAAAATATCCTTGGCTATGTTGTTTTACAGATTTTTTAAAAATAACTTATACAATCCTTTTTTTTTTCTCTGTGGACTATTTTTTATATGGGAGTGGGGTATCTTTTTTTGTCTTGTTCCTTCTCCTTTTCTCCTCTCTGACCCTGCAAAGCCACTCTTTGCACCAGACGTATGTAAACACTTTCCTACACTGCATGTTCTGATTTTCATTGTTAATAGTTTTAATGAGTTGAACCTTTCTCCAGTGAAATTACCGCCAGTTTTGTCACCATTTCCACATGGAACTGGGATAATCCCTGCTTGGTTTCGGCTGCAACGACACCTGCCCTGCCTGGGCTTGCCCACAAGAGCTCACCTCAGCCAGGTGAGGAGGGGAAAGCCACACTGTCTCCAGTCCTCACCTGCCTGGACCAAATCCAAGGAAAGATGGAGCTTTGGTGAAATGATCTTTAAGTTAATAAACTATTGATCTCCCCTGACAAATGAATCTGTGTTTTTTCCAAATTCATGCAGCCCTGACTGGAGGCACTGCACGTCCTTATTTTGCTGGACAAAGCAACTCTCCTGGCTGGAGCTCCTGCTCAGCTCAGAGCACCTGTGGGAGAAATGCTCAGGAACAGATAAGCTGCATCTGCAAAAGCCTCACTGTTTTTGTCTTGAAGGTCTTTTCCCTCCAGAAGAAACTCAAATCCCAAATACCTGCCCTGTGCCAGGCTGGGCTGGTGCACCCAGGGCCATCTTACTGGGGTTTGGGGCTGTGCTGTGGCACAAGTGGGTGTGTTCTCCAGTGTGGGGGATCCTGGATGAGCTGGCAGAAGGGCTTGTTCCCCTTTCCCACCCATACAAGGAGCATCCTGAGCCTCCCAGTTCCCCACTGCAGTTCCCAGCAGCTGGAAACCACAGGGCCACTGTTCCCTGTTGGCTGTCTGGGAAGGAGAGGAGCCGCTGGTGTGGTTGGGGAATGGAGGGAGATGTGGAACCCTTTGTTTGTCGTGTTGGTTTTGCAACAACCATGGGCCAAGTGCCCAGGGTAATGTCTGGATATCTGGAACTGAGCTTTTTAAGTGGGGAAAAAAGAAAAGAATTGAGTCCTCCCACAAGGGAAGATGCTTTCTCAGAGGTGTGCAGCTGTGGGCTCTACATTTTGTTGGTCTTCACATTCATCAGATGATAAATGTGAATTAATCACATACAGTGATTCCTTCTCTTGCTGCAGGATTTCCCTTTCAGACTCAGGCCAAACCAGAGGTCAGAACTGGGGTGACACACTCCTGGCTTCTGCCCCTTTGGTTGGAAAATACCAAACTTCATTTTTCCTGCTGTGTTAGTGAAAAAACAGGAGCTGTGGATCAGGAGTACTGTGCCAGTCTTCCAGTTCCCTGGCTTACAGCAGCCTGCCTCTAAATGCTGCTCCCTGGTATATTTAGATGGACTGAAATGCTACAAAGAAAGGAAAATGCTTACTCTTACATCTTGACATAACTTAAAATATGCACTGGGGAAGGCAATGCAATTTAAGATGACCAGTCCCCAGCAGTCCCAGCTCTATCCTGCTTTCTGCTGCCTTCCAGCCTGCCAGGGAAAGAAAAACAAATTCTGCACATTGAATTCATGCAACAACATCAGCTTCCAGCGTTTCCCTCAGAAATCATTCTTGTAAAGTAATAAAATTCAGATTATTTCTCCAAGCTGTTGCAATACTTGCTTGGAGCTATTAAAGTCTGACTGGTATGCTCAGAGGATCAAAGCGGCTGTGTCTTCAAGATAAATGCATATTTAGGCAATTTATTAAAGCTCATTTCTCTGTTGTCTCTTGGCACCAAAGCCAAATCTATAATAGCTGTTTTCTGGAAAATCTTAGCGCAGCCTGACTCCTCGTTTGCAGTTTGGCCGTGGGGTTGCAGCCACAGCCATCTGCCATTGTGCAGTTGGCAGGTGGGGAACACAGTTCTTAAAAATCATTGCTTTGAGTTTCCATTGCAAAGAAAGGACTGTCGAGAGCTTGTGTGCAGCGTCTGAGACCCAGAATCCATCTGCTCGCAATTACAATTCTATTGTGGCTGTAGAGCTGAGGCAAACAGATGTATTGTGCTAAGGGAGACAGGTCCATGTTTTATTTGGCCTTGTCAGAGACAGGACCTGCTTTCCAGGAGGCTGGAAAGAGTCTCCTTATAAGAACTGCCTGAAATGACTAAAGTCTCTGTTGTCTTGAACGCTGCATGATGCCTGAGTCACGTACAAAAGTGCTGCTAATTCTTGGCTTTTTTCTTGTGACAGCTCCCTCTTGTTCTTGCTCCCTCCTATGTTATAAAACAAATGCAGCTGTTATAAAAACCTGACTCTGTGCTTTCCCATACAGCTTTGGTGGGGGAGTTTTCACAGCAGGGAGCACAGGAGCTGCCTGAGCCCAGCTGGTCCCTGGCAGGGCCAGCTCTGACGCTGAGATCCTGGGGACTGAGCCAAGCATCATGCCCAGGGTGATGCCCTGAGAAGCTCCCAAAAGAGAAGCATGAGCCATCCTTGTGCAGTGCCAAGTGTGGCTGCAATGTTTAGCCTGTTATCACATCTTCTTGGTTCACAGAAATGTCATGGCTCACAAAAAATATCCTTCCCTCTCTGGCAGTGGAGACAGAAACCACCCTTCCTCATTCTGCTCTGCAGGCCTTGAAGGATAGGGAAAGGTTTCCCCAGAAGTAGTGGCTTGGTGACATTCAGCAGGTTTTGGGGGTCTGGGGGTGTCCCTTTACATGTCACTTTCAATCCAGTCACCTGCATTGTGGTTCAACCATCAGCTGAGCCCTTCCCAGTGGTGCCAGGCAGCATCCCAGCCTCAGACCCAGGGACCTGGGAAGGAATTCCTGGCCAGACACAGCAGCCAGATCCACCTCAGCTCTCACAGCACTACTCCCAGCTCTTCCTTGCTGTTCCCCAAATTCCCAAAGCTGGTTAGGGGGATGTAGTGACATTTGCAAGGATGTTTTATCTCACAGATAAGGGGTGTGTGTTGTGCTGCAGCTTGTGGAGTTCCCAGCCCATCACAGCACGTCTGAGACCAGGAATGCACATGGAAGTGACAGAGAAACTGTCCCAAATGCTGCAGGGGGATGGTGCCTGTGGACAGCACAATGTCCAGGAGTAAAGGCTGAGCTGCTGCTGGGATGGACAGAAAGCACCGAGAGCTGTGGTTGCTGTGGAAGGTCCTGGCTCTGCAGCAGGAGGGGAGCAGCAAGTGCTGGAACACGGCTCTGTCCGAAAGGAAGCACTAGCCATGGCGTGAAATGTGTTCCTGCTCTGCCCGGGTTTCTACAGATAAATCTGTGCCTGCAAACACCAGAAAGTGGGAGGGAACCGCTGGTGGCACCCGTGCCGCTTTAGGGCACTGCTGACGGCAAAGCCAAGTCCCTTCTGAGCTTGTCACCCATGGCTCAGGTGTGGGGCTGGGAGCTGGCCCGGGGAGGAGGCGAATGCAGGGATGGGGTGCTGGGGGCTGTATCAGCCCTGAGGAGGAGGGGAATGCAGGGATGGGGCGCTGGGGGCTGTATCAGCCCTGAGGAGGAGGGGAATGCAGGGATGGGGCGCTGGGGGCTGGATCAGCCCTGAGGAGGAGGGGAATGCAGGGATGGGGCGCTGGGGGCTGGATCAGCCCTGAGGAGGGGCGGTCCGTGCCGCTCGCTGTCTCGGCGCTCGGCTGCGCGGCCTGGGCGCGCTCGGCGCTCGGCGCGGTGCCCTGCGGCGGCGCGGCGCGGCCTGGCGGGGCCTGGCGTGCGGTGTCTGCGCTTGTGGCCGTGTGTCTCCGTGTGTCTCCGTTTGTCGCCGCGTGTCGCGATGGTGAAGCTCACGGCGGAGCTGATCGAGCAGGCGGCACAGTACACCAACGCCGTCCGCGACCGGGAGCTCGACCTGCGCGGTGCGCGGGCCCCGCGGGGCGAGAGGGGCTGTGCTGGGAACGGGGCGGGGAGGGCGGCGGGCTGAGGGGCTGAGGCCCGGGCGTGTGTGTGTGTGGTGGGGCCTGGGGGTGGTCAGTGATGGATCCCGGAGGAGGGGCTGTGATCAGGTTTGAAGGGTCCGTGCTGGATCTTGCAATGGGCCCTGGCGCCTTCCGTGGCCGGAGGTGCCGAAGCAGGACGGGGAGGCCGCGGGGAGGTTGTTGGAGGGGCTGCAGAGGCTCCAGGGGCTTCGGAACCTGCGGGGGATGTGAGGGGGTGAATTACAGAGTGGTAGAATGGTTTAGGTTGAAAGGGAGCCTAATAATCATCTCGTCTCAACTACCAAGAAGTGGAAATTGGGGGAAATATGGGAGGAATGTGTTGTGATGGTGGGGGTGGGATGTGCTCCCAGTAGGAGGGATGTGCCAGAAAGGTGAGTTTGACTCGGAGGACACGTACAGGCTGAGGGGGAGGAAGGAGGATTGAAAAAGCCGTGAGGGCTGCTGGGTTTGAGGGGGAGAGTTTGGTCTGGGAGTGCTGTGGAGGAGAGGTGATCCCGAGGTGTTTTGTCTTGGACTTAGCAGCATCATCAGTCCATCCAGATTTGCTCCTCACACTCTGTTTTGCTTTGGTCTGCTCTGCTGTGGGCACCATCTAATCCCTGCCTTGCACTCTCTCTGCAGGCTATAAAATCCCTGTTATTGAGAACTTGGGTGCCACTCTAGACCAGTTTGATGCCATCGATTTCTCTGACAATGAGATCCGCAAACTGGACGGATTCCCCTTGCTGCGGAGGCTTAAAACGCTCCTGATGAATAACAACAGGATTTGGTAAGGGGCTGTGCTTTGGCTTGATGACACCCTGGAGTGGAGGAAGATGCTCTTGGGAGAGAGGTGTGTTTGTGTTTCCGTGCTGAGTGGGTGCAGGACGGTTTGTTTCAGGCAATAAAATCAGCACTGAGCACTGTGTGGGCCCTCTTTCAGTTTCCTTCCACATTCAGTGCAAAAGTCAGTGTTTGTTTCTCAGCCAGGACAAAGAGATGCAGAGTTTGGGATCTGGCCAGATTTTGGATTTCAATAACCAGCTCCATAAGGACAAAAAAAAAGGGATACCTGCAAGGGAAGGGATTTAAATCTCATATTGCATCTAATATTCTTGCAGTGATTGATTGCCAGCTTTATTAGAAAAGTGTTTTGGATGCTCACCCAAACTTCTGCCAGTGTCAGATTGGGTTGTTCACAGGGACATTCTCTGTGTTATTGTGTTTCTTTGTGTATTTCCACCACTGCTAATTCCTGCCCTAAATTAAATTAATTATTTTTTGTTGTTCTTCAGTCGGATTGGTGAGAACCTGGAACAGGCTCTGCCCAGCCTCACAGAGCTCATTCTTACCAACAACAACATTGCTGAACTGGTAAGCTGTGATGCAGGATAAAGCTAAACAAGCTTAAAATTTGTGGTTTTCGTCTCTCTAATTAACCATTTTCCTGAGAGTAGTGCCATATCCTTTTGGTAATAGTTGGTTCTTTCTCTTTAGAGTAATATCTTACAGTTTTGGCAGTAGTTAATGGTGTACATGCTTTAATGAACATGATTTGCATCATGCAGTGGAACTGCAGTCACAAAGCTTAGTGGTTTTCCTATTAAAATAATTGCAGTAATTTAATTAATTTCTAACATAGCTATGACTTCAGGAACTTTGTTTCCAAATATTTGAATTTTTTTGCTAGAGGGGCTTAAAATTTCTTGCTGTGCTCCCTTTACCCAGGGTGAACTGGATCCGTTATCAACTATTAAATCATTGACTTACCTGAGGTATGTAACCCCAAAAAGAAAAGCTGCTCTTCCTCCAGTGTTTGAACTCTGCTGCTGGCCTGTTCCTTTGCTTTTTATGATCTGTCATAGATCATAAAATTTGTGTCTAAAAACTGAATTGATAAAAAGGTTTTCCTCTACTCTTCATAAACATCTGGTAATTAATGTCTGAGGTTTTATATCACTGACAGACTGTTGGGATAATGAGATGTAACATCTTTGTAAACTAATGCACAAGTGCTGAAGTGAACTTAATCTTTAAAAACCTAAAACCAAAAGGTTTAATCTCTTGATTAAAAACATAAGTTTAAAATAAATGTAAAAAAGGACTTTTCAATAATATTACATTTGAAGGAAACTCAGTTTGTCCCGTGATTTTTCAGTTCATCCGTGTCCAGATAGTAAGAGTGATGTTTCAGTTATTTTTTGAGGGAGTATTCTGGTTATTTTGAGGTTGTTCTTTATGTCGTCCTGCAGTTAAATCTACTGAATTGCTGAAGAGCAAATTTTTACTGTAGTTTCCATAATATCAAAGAACTGTCACTAGGCTTATTTCATAGTTACAGGAGGAAGTACATGAATGCATTTCAAGTATATGAATATATTTCAATACAAATGTATTTTAAAATATTTTGTATTAAGAGCCTCTTTATAACCTTTATTTACTTCACAGCGTTCTAAGGAATCCTGTAACAAATAAGAAACATTACAGATTATATTTAATTCATAAAGTTCCCCAGGTCAGAGTGCTGGATTTTCAAAAAGTGAAGCTCAAAGTAAGTCTGCTTGCTTTTGATTTAGGGTTGGGGTTTTTTTTACATTCTTAAAAATTCACCACTAACAGTGATCTTACTGCCATAGTTGTAAATTTCATTGAAACTCTCTAAGTGGCTCTACAACGCACTCATTGTTTATTTTGTGGTTTCATTCTGTTAAGGATATAATCTGTGTAATTATGTTTAATTAAGTTTTAGTGCCTTTGTTTATTGTTACTCTTTTCTGTCCCTCTGGTGTTGGTAGGAGACAGTTCTGGAGAAAGAAATGAGCAAACACCACAGCCCTCAGCTCTGGGTGGGGGATGAGTGTGGCAAAGAGCTTTTAATTTTAAGAGCACAAGGCTGATATATCTTTGAGTGTTTGGGCAGTGTTTATCTGCTTGTTCTTACATCTGGTCTCCATGTACCAATTTCACTGATGAGGATGAGCCAAAGTGTCTTTCTTGGCCAAGACAGAAGCTTTGCAAACTGTGATGTTCTCAAATTAACTCTGTGTGTGTGTGGTATCGCTGTAGGAGCGACAGGAGGCAGAGAAAATGTTCAAGGGCAAACGGGGTGCACAGCTTGCAAAGGATATTGCCAGGAGAGCAAAAACGTAAGATAAAACAAACAAATTTACACTGGCATCCTCCTTCAGAAACACCACTTTCTTTTGTGTGCAGTATCAGGCAGAAAACTGGAATATCAGCTGCTGGCAGGATGCCTCAAAAGCTTTGGGAGCCAGAAGTGCCAAGCACCCCAAGTTTTGGATGGTGGTGAATACATCTCAGAAATATTTCTGAAAGTGATAACTTAGTCAAGGTGGATTCACTGAAGTCAACAAGCAGGAAACCTTAATTTTATTTTTGTTATTTAACTGCAGAGAGGTGGCCATTTTTTAATTTGTGTTTGATGGAGTTTTTCTCCTAGATGATTGGTAAATTAATTCTTTTGTTTTGCCAGAGAATAAACTGCAAAGTCTGCTGCAGTTAGGAGACAAAATACAAATTAAAATATTTAATTAAGCTATTACAGTATATATTTATTTAGTTTAATTGTTAAGTGGTACATCATATGTTTTGATCAACCTATTTGGTAATAAGAATTCAGATCATGTGTGGCAACAGCATTTCCAAATTAATGATTAAATAGAAAAATGTCTTGAACTTATTTAACATTTAAAGTTATAATAGATGGATTTGAGCTTGAGTTTGTGAGTGGGAAGGGATTCAGGTCTGTGACAGTTTTAGAATAAGCAGGTGATTTTCCTTAAAGCAGCAGCAGCAGATAACCTTTATCTTTTGACTATTAAGATTAATTCCACTTTAGTGTAGGCTTTACTTTAGGCTGTTGTAATATCACATTTGACACATGGGAACAGAAAACCCATTTTCAGTTATTCTTTATTTATCCACCCTGCTTTTGTAATGGAACAGACCAGCTGAGTGTTCAACAACATCCAAATTGAAGAGCTTTTGTCAACTGCCTGATTAATAAAGTTAAGTTCTGTCTCTGAGCAGATTAAAAGGTGGGAGGGAGTGGGACAGTGAGGACAAGTTGCTGGTGTTTCTGAAGGAGGCCATACTTCACTGTATCAGTTTGTTAACAAAGATAAGATACTACACTTGATGGAATGAAATGCTTTCAAACCTAGTTTGGAAGCATTTCAAGTTAAGAGAAGCAGCTACTCTTCAAAAAGTGTAACAGCTCTTTTTTTTCCTTTTGAAGCTTCAATCCAGGGGCTGGTCTGCCAACGGACAAAAAGAAAACAGGGCCCTCCCCAGGGGACGTGGAGGCAATTAAGGTAAATATATCAGGAGAAAAGCTGTCATGGATCCAACGTGAACAAATATTTCCTTTGTGCTGTTCAGACAAATAGATCAGCGTGTCCTGACTGTGGTTTAGGTTCTTTTTCTGTAAGTTTTCTTCTGACCTATCTGTATTTTGAAAACTTAAATGAAATGTTAGCCTGAGATTAGAGTTCTTCCAAGGGAGGGGGGAGGTAATGATTTGTCATTTGTAGAATTTTCCTAGAATTGGAATTTAGTAGAACTTTTGTAGGTGTTCACTATCACTTAACTGGTAGAAATCTGGGTTTTGTGTTAATTCTGAGCAGACTGACACGGGGTGTGTGAGGATTCACTGAGTTCTGTGTTTCTCAGACTGCCATAGCAAACGCCTCGACCTTGGCTGAGGTGGAGCGGCTGAAGGGATTGCTGCAGGCGGGACAGATCCCCGGCAGGGAGCGGAAATCAGGTCACTCTCTACTCCTGCTACTCTTCTTTAAACACAGTCCACCTCTCTTCCTTGCTCCTGATGCTTCCTGTGATCTCTCTAGGGAGCTGGGTAGAAAAAGTGTGAGTTTGTCATCTGTGGAGCACATGCCTGGCTCTGTGTGATCTGCCTGGCCTGGAGTGCAGCTCTGGGCTGTCACCTGCACTCCCTGCACAGGGAGGTGCCAAACAGGTGCTTTGCTGCACTGGATGACTCCAAAATTCATCCCAGTTATTTAACAAAATGAGATTAATTACATTAATTAATGGACCTGTGCTGAGTGTCAGTGCCTGGGGTGTGGGTGCAGCAGTGAGTGTGGGAGCTCTGCAGAGATGGGTCTCAGCTGCAGGCTGGCCATAGCACCGGTTTTCTCTACATTGGGCCTACCTGGATCTTCCTTTCTGCAGAGTTTTAAAATGTTCCCATTATTACTCCTCTGCAGAGGGGTGGGGAAAGAACAGCCACGTCTGCAGCAGCTGCCCTAAAACTCTGACGTGTCGTTTCAGGCCCATCGGAGGACGGCGAAGAAGAAATGGAAGAGGACACAGTGCCAAACGGATCGTAGCCCGGGCTGTGCCGCGCTCCGGCCCTCCCCGAGAGCCCTTTCCTGTCCCAGGCCGTGCCGGTGTCCCCGGCGGGGCCCCATCGCCCCCGTCCTCGAGCATTTCGTTGTTCAATAAACGAACGGTCCCTTTTTCCCCGCTGGTGCCGCGTCCGCTTCTCGGCCGGGGGCGGGACGGGAGGGGCTTCTGCGCACCCTGATTGGCTGCCTTGCGCCTGCCCCCTTCTCTCATTGGCCGGTGCAGCCACACGTTGCCGCGGGCACTCTGCCAGCGGACGCGCGGCGCTTCCGGGCGGCGGCAGACGGGGCGGTGATTGGCGGAGCGGGGCGGGCCCGGACGTGAGGCTGTAGCGGACGGGGCGGTGATTGGCGGAGCGGGGCGGGCCCGGACGTGAGGCTGTAGCGGACGGGGCGGTGATTGGTGGAGCGGGGCGGGCCCGGACGTGAGGCAGCTGCGGGCGATGGAGCTCGGAGGCGCTGGGCCCGCGGCGGGGCCCGGGCCGGCGCTGGGCCGGGGCGGCCTGGAGGCCCTGCAGCACACGGGTGAGGGGCCGGGGGCCGGGCTGAGGGCGGGGGGCGGCGGGGCCGAGGCGCGGAGCCGGGGCCGCTTCCCCCTTCGGGTGGGCCCCTTGCCGTGTGGCCCGCGCTCACCCCCGGCCTGTCCCCGTCGCAGTGGGCTCGGTGCTGGCCAGCTATGGCTGGTACATGCTGCTGGCCGTCGTCGCCGTGTATCTCCTGGTGCAGAAGGTGTCCCGCAGCCTGGCGGCGCGGCCGAGCGGCCGGCGCGGAGCGGCTGAGGCGGCGGAGGGTGAGTACAGAGCGCGCTGCGGCCTCTCCGGAGCCGGGGTTTGTGCCCCTCGGGTCCTGCGGGCCCCCGCCGGCCTGGCCGGAGGGCTGAGAGCCGCTGGGACACGCGCGGGGTTGTGGAGGTGGTGACAGCCCAGGAGAGATCCGGGTGTGAGGGGTTTGCACGGAGACTGATAATCGGGATAAGCGTTCAGCCCACAGGTCCTCAGCCTGGAGAGATCACCGGGAAAGGATGGGCCAGGGGAGGTGTTTTTAAAAGGTTCTGATGGAAAAGCTGTGTCCCAAAGTTTTATATTTGGGAACGAAAGAGCGGGACATCACAGGACAAGGGATATCTGCTGTTCGGTGGTGCAGAAGCTGAGGGGATGGAGGATAAAAGCACCTGTGGTCAATCCCTAAACCAAACAAAACCAAAACGCCCAAATCTAAATCCTGGGGAAAATACTTCTGCAAATATCCACTTTTTATTAATATTCATCGTCCCAGTTACTCTTTCCCAGTTCCTGCTCTGGCAGGACTGTGTATATTTGGGGTGTGACGCTCTGTTATCTTTGGGAGTGTAAATCTCACACAGCCATAATCCTGCTGAAAAGCACAGGTTGTGCTCCTGGATCTGCCAAATCCATGAGTGCTTGGCACTGATCCTTGGGCACATTGGCATGACAGGATGTGGGGCCCCAGTAAAATCTGATTTGTGTGCCCTTATCCTTCTGCTATTCTTTTATGATGATAATTAAATGGTGATTTAATTGCCTGAACTGCCTGTAAAATGAAATTACTGAAAGTACTGACATTTCTTTTTCATATTCATCACTGGATCGTAGCAAAAAAAGACAAACAAATATGGAGATGCTTCAGCTGCTGGAAGAAAACAGAGCAACATTTGCCCTTTTTTTGGGGTGTAATTTTCCTTTTATGACCTTCAAAGGCCACTCATGAAGAGCAGTGGTGACTCAGTGTGGATTTTCTGAGACCTCCAGGTGTCTCTTGAGATGCGTGTCATGTTTGTAAAGTGATTTCTCTGCTGATGGAGGGTGTTAAATCCGCTGCTGCACTGACACCAGCAGGACCCATTGCCAGAAGGAGTAGGAGTGAATGTGGGCTGGTTGCCTCATCCCTCTGGGTAAAAGAAGTTTTCTGAGTAAAAATGGTCCCTGCGAAGCCTGGGTGATATTTCTGAATTTAAAAAAATCCTTCAGAAACAGAAGGAACTGTCCTTAAAGTGTGAGGTTTAAATTTTATGGTTAGGTACACTTGTGTCCTTATTAAAATCCTGTTAAAGTAATTGCTTTAAAACAGTAAAACATGATGAAGTTTAATTTGGCATATAAATAAAAGATTAGCTGGAAACTGAACTTGAGCTGTGATTTTCTGCAGGGAGGGATGTGAGCCTTTCATTATTACAATTCTTTGAGGAGACCATCTAGAATTTACTATGAGTAGCTTTGCAAACTCTTTCCTGATTTCCTAGAGCCTGATGTGGTGGTAAGAAGGCAGGAAGCTTTGGCAGCAGCTCGCCTCAGGATGCAAGAGGAATTGAATGCACAAGCAGAAAGATACAAAGAAAAGCAAAGACAGGTAACCAGAGAGCATTTCTTCTTTTAACTCATAAATTTGTCAAGCACTTTGCTGCTGTAAAAGAGAGCAGTAAATTGTAATTGTGTGCCAGGGTTGCTGTGGGCCAGGTGTTCATTTTTTCACAGGTAAATCTGTACCTGCAGGAGCTTAGCTGTGTGTGCAGTGAATGGTTGGAGGGGTTTTGCTGGCATTTAAATTAACTGTACAGTGGCACATGTGTGTTTTCAGCTCTTAATGGCAAATATAGATGTTAGAAATGTAGCTTAGCTTTGCTGCAATTTAAGAGTCTGAATTACAGCTTGAGATCATGAGGAATAGCAAATAGCTGAGTGGGGCAGTGCAGAAAATGGGTGTGATCAGCATAGCAATAGCACTGATCACCATCCCACCTCGTCTGCTTTTGCAGTCAGACACTCAGATCTCAGTTTATAGCTGATGTTTCAAGTAATATTGGCAGTTAAAAACAAAGGAAAAGTCCTTCTGTAGAACCCCAAGCTGTGCATTATTCTTTACTTAGTACTTTTTATAAACTCAGGGTTTAAACTTGCCACTTGGTTCTGTTTTACTTTCAAAATCTTTTAAAGCATCAAGGGGCCAAAGGAAGCTGCAGACTCAGTCAGTACAATCCTGAGGAGGGGAAGAGATGTGGGTGTATGAAAAGAATAAATTCTTCCATAATCTCAGAGATACTGCATTAGATATATACAGTTTGATGTATATAGTCGTAGCTGTTTCTGGGGATGTTGTTAGCTCTGAAATCTTAGTTTTAAGACTAAGCCTTTATCCTGGATTTGTTCTGTAGCTGGAGGAGGAGAGGCGAAGGCAGAAGATCGCCATGTGGGAGAGTATGCAAGAAGGAAAAAGCTACAAAGGAAACCTGAAACTGAATCAGGTAATAACCATCTTAATCAGTCACAGTTGTGTTCATGTGATTAAGGGAGCTGAAATTCACATTGAGTAATTGTTTGCTTTTTTGAACAGCAAGAAGTAGAATCTGGTGCCTCCGCCTCAGCAGTCCCAAAATCTAAACCAAACAAAAAGCCTTTGAGAGGAGGTGGTGAGTATGGAATTCTTCAGACACTCTGAGCTTGGAGCAGGTCATTTATCCAGCTGTTTCTGTAGCCTCTGTACATACTTTTGTCTTTTTCAAGGAGGAAACAAAATGTTCCTTTCAAAGGAGCTCTTTATCTGTGATCAGATGGTCTCCTCTGCCCTTTGTGTAAAAGGAAGTTTTGGGAGGGCTTTTCCCTGGAAAAAGCATGTGTCAGGTGTTTTATAAATAGGCTTTGGTATAATTTACCGAGATTTTTGTCAGTCAGAATTACAGATTGTTACAGTATTTCTGGGATCTCTCCCCCATTCTATATAATTTTATTTCAATAAAATAATTTAGTATCTAGTCTGTCTTTAAAGCACCTGTAATATTGACTCAATGCAGGAAGAGGATATTTTACTTTGTATTATGTAGATTCAGAAGATGAAATAAATTAGTATGTAAAATGTCACCTTATTTTTTATATACCACAGTGCTGACCTATTGAACATATAAATCCTGGAGATGTATAAACTCTTACAAGCACCAGAAGGTCTCACTGTTAAACACAGTTAAACACTGTTAAACCTGCTGGAATCATCTTGATGGATTAAGTGCTTTGTGGCCTCACATTGCCCATGTCAGGCTCGCTGGCCATGCAGGCAGTCTGCTTCCTCTCCTCTCAGCCCAGCAGCCCTTGCCATACCTGCAGGTGCTAATTTGGGTATATTTTAATGACAATTTTCTGAAAAGGAGGCCCTCTTGGGGTGCAGTGCTGAGTGACTTGATTAAATGTATGAAACCTGTAGATTCTTGATTAAACATACTAAACCTCAGTAATGGTGCAGTGCTGGGATTTCTCCTTTTCAGCATTTTTCCTGACATTTGAAGGAATCAGTGATTGATTGATCTTAGGTTGTTTCATATGAGGGTGTGAGTCTGATGCTGTCAGGTATCTTTGATAGCTCTGTCATGAGATATTTCCCTCCCTGGGGGATGAGAAATGCAGGGGTCAGCTGTGCTGAGAACCAGGCTCAGGGCAGCTGGGATTGGGCACCCTTCCAGCTGCTACCTGTCCTAGTTTTATCCTCAGCAAAGTCTTTGCTTAAGTAACCAATTACAGAATTAGAGGTCTCAGATCTTCCCCTGAGCTAGATCAGCATGAAGTGAAAGAACCATCTGTGCTGCTCAGCTGCTCAATTAAGCTAAAAAGCAAAACTTGGCTGGTACGAGAAAAACAAATTTCAAAGATAAAGGTGATGCTGGGAGTTTCAGTTGAGCAGGTTGCTTTGAAACCCCCCTGGTTAGCAGTGCTGCTGGGATTTGGGTTCTTAGGTTTGTGCAGAACAAATTGAAGATGTTTGCCAAGTTGTAAATTTCTGAATGTGTTCTCCTGACATGAAGTTTCCCATGGTTACAGCATTAGGGTGTTCAACTAAAGTGTATTTGCCTGACTGCCTATGCTTGCCTTTTCAGATGCTTTAAAAAAATACTTTGCAGTATTAATGAGTGGATTTACCTTTTGACCTTCAGAGTATTCCTTGCGGGACTGGAATAAAGGATTATTTTAAGTCCCTGACTGTTGGGGCTCTTGGAGAACAGATACACTCTGCAGAGTTCACTGTAAGAGCTGCTCTTGCTGCTCTGTTTATCCTGCAGAGCAGCACTGCAACTTTAGCGCAGGCTCAGAAAAAATAAATGGTAATCAATTTCATTTAATCTAAATTGATCAAATTAAAACACAAGTGTTTTGCAATGGCTTTTAAAGGAAAAAACCCTCTCAAGTCTGGATGTTCTCTGCGCTTTCACTTTCCCTAAAATGCTGCGTGTGTAAAGTATGAGCAAGGTGTAAATCTTATGAGATCTATTTTTGGTGTTCCTTCTGTGTTGGTGAAGGGCTGTGGAGGGTGAATATTAATGGAATGATTTCTGCTCTGTGTTCTAGGCTATAACCCCCTGTCTGGAGAAGGAGGAGGGACGTGCTCCTGGAGACCCGGCCGGCGGGGCCCCTCAGCAGGTGGATGAGGCTAATGTCCCTAGTGTCCCCTGGCACTAGCAGCCTTGATCTTACCCCCTGTCTAACTGCCTACAGCCAGCCTGTCACAGGGACTCCTTTGGGGCTGGTTTAGTGCACTTGTTAACTTAAAACAGTTTTTTGTTTGTTTGATTTGCACCGTTTCCAAATTGTAATGCATTGGCTGATCTTACACCAGAAAAATATCTGATCCTCTTCGAGAGGGCAAAGAGAGAAGCAATTTCAGTATTACCAGTTAATTTTCACTCTTCTGTAGAGAGGGAACATAGTCTCCAGCCAAGGTGGATCACTTGGGATTGTGAGGTCTGGGCTCTCTGACAAATTTAGTTACCTATGCTCACTTAACCTCTGTAAGATGAGGATATTTACCGTCTTCAGACATGTTACCAGATTTACCTTCCAGCTAAACACAGTTATTTAGAGAGTAAGGATATTATCATTGGCAGACACCTTGAATTTAGGCAGAGGGACTTTCAGAAAAAGCACAGGTGATCTGACAAATGCCACGGATTTGCACTGAAGGCCAGTTACTGCAGAAGAGTCTCTGTGACAAGCCAGCTTGAATGATGTTTTCCTTATAAATGGTGAACAAACCAGTGAGGATTACTGATGCTAGACAGCAGACAGGGGGGTCTTGCTATTCCTTTTTTTCTTCTTTTTTTTTTTTTCTTTCTTTTTTTATTTCAACTGCTTTGTAAAAACAAGACACTATTAATATTAAATATAATTGCAAACATCATAAATCTAGTGTTTACAATCTCGTGGTTTTCTACAGCATCTTTTTTTATAGAAGGCATTTGTTCTAGTGCAATAAATGTGTATAAAGCAAGGTGGGAGATGAAGTGACCCTGCTGCAGCTTGTGCAGCACCAAAGCTGAGGGTGGTGTGTGCTGAGGAGGGCTCTGGCAAGTGAGGGGTGCAAGGAGTGTGTGGTGTTCCTCCTTCTGGTGTGTGTCCAGCACTGAGGACAGAAAACAATTGGTCATCATAACCAAACTTTCCAAGCATCCCTAACCCTTGATTTTCTCTCTAAAGTGCAACAGACAAATAAAATCCAGGTTTTCTTTGGAAAGGAGTGAAATCATTCCTGTTGGCATGGAACAAGTGTCCCTGTGTCCAGTTGCTGTTCCTGAGCTGATCTGTGGGCATTGGGGTAAGGAGCAGTGGCTCCTTAGAGCTTAGGGTGCTTGAGCACTTGTTTGTGAATATTTACTCTTGGAATACTTGTGCTTATCAATAGATACGAGTGTCAACTTTGAATACACTTGTTTTTATGCATGTTGGTATTTCTCTTCATTAGAAATCCAACAGGAGTGTGTTACTAGAGAGTTTTTAAGTTGGTAATTAAATTAAAAGGCTAAGAACCTTTTGTTGTAGACACAACAAAGTGTTTTGTCAAGTGTGTGTGGAAGGTGAAGTGAGGCTGTTGATGGAAATTCATTCAGAGGCCAGTGTATGTAACTTCAGGTTTTAGTCCTCAATAAGGTAAAAAGAAATAGAGGTGGGGAAGGATATTTTCAACATCTGAAGAGTCTTCCTCAGGAAAGTGGACTAAGTTGTAATGCCTTAGGGAACATCTCCCTCATGTTGGGGAAACAGGCAACAGACTGAGGTATTGTCTTCAGAAAAACAACCGGGGGAGGTTGTTGTCTTAAAGAAGCAGAAATCCTTGTGTTGATAACATGGTCAGGGATGAGTTTATTTAATTCAGTAAAAACATCTGCAAAATAAATAAGCAGGTCTTAACTGAGCATATGCTAATCTTTCTCTGTCTCAAGACTTGCTTCTGGCTAGGACTAGGGATATGGCTTTTTGCCCAGTTCTAAGGTTTAATAAGACATGTCAAGTGAAAATGAAATGATGCACGTATTTCTGGAAGCTTCAACCTTATTTCTCCTTTTATTTATTTTTTTTTTATTTTAATCCTCAAGTTCCTGAATTTTTCTGTCAGACACTTCTAAGCTATTGAACAGGGTGGGAGGACGAACCTCAGTTCATAAAACTTCTCTTTTGGCTCACAACCTGCACAAGAGGGAAGGGTTTTTCCTCTGACTTCAAATGGAAAGCTCTCCCCTGACCACAAGCATTATGGAAAGGTGGTTGCTTGCTGCTTTATAGCTCAGGAGTGAAGCATATGCAGAAAGCATTAGGTGAAAGTGAACTATTTAATGAATCCATTGTTCCTGGTTTGGTATGAATTCCCAAGAACTTGAATTATGAAAGATCATATTAAAAAGCCTTCAGGAGATTCCCCCCCCCCCCCACTAGGGCAGTTATACAAGAAGCCTCTTGCTTTACTCATACAGATCTTCTGGAAATACTTCTATCTGGAAGAAGCTGGGTAATAAACTATTTAATTACCTGATTTTAGTATTAAAAAGCCAAAAATCAAGCAAGCAAATTCAAAGGCACAAAAAATTCCTGAAAATGTTACTTGCTTGAGATTTAGATTATTTATATGCTGGAGGAGCAGAGTTTTTTGTTTTCTTTAAATTGCAGATGAGATCTGGATGCATAGTTCTCTTAACTATTCATCAGGAGATACTGAGCACTGGAGTTAAAACTGAACAAAACATCCCACGTTGTCAGACTCAAAAATTATTTGGCTTTATTTAAGCCTTTAAAAAAAACATTGTGAAACGAGGAAAGATTTTAAGAGTGATATTGCATACTTGGGCGTTTAAAAAATATGTTTCTTATGCTGGAAATTTTTAATAACAAACAGAAGAGGGAGTTAGGGGAGTGAGGGCAATGGGGGGATCTGTCAGCAGAGCTGTTCCCAGGTGTTGTAGAGTTATCTGTGTCTCAATCAAAGATCAATGTGAATGAAAACGATAATTGCACCTGTATCTACAAGGAACTGCTGTCCTTGCAAAATCTGAGTGCAGGTGTGAAATGCCAGTACTAACAAATCTCATCTGCTATTCTGACTCATAACTCAAGGAGCTGGGCTGTTCTGCAGTGGCTCTGTGCTCAGACTCTGCTGATACTCAGCTCAGGTGTTTAATTGTTGGATTTGGTTTTGGTTTTTTTTTTTTGGAGGAGGGTGTTTGTGTCTTATTCCCCTCCCTAGAAGATGACTGTGCATTCCAGAGCTCTGTGAAGGGGGATGGCATCCAGCCTGAGTCTCCTGTAATTTTACCAGCAGCCTTGTTGTTACTAGCTGAATTTAAACCCCTCAAATGCTGTTCTTTCTGCCTCCTGCTCATGCAGGCAGCTCCCTTCTTTAGCAGTTGGGTCCTTGCAAGCCTGGCTGCACGTCAGCACACATCTCAGCGTCAGATCCACCTCCTGGATGAGTTTTGTCCTTACACAGGATCAGTTCACTTTCGGGGATCAGTTTAGCCACAAGTGGGGCTCAGCACGTTCCTGTCCGTGCTATAGCTGAACAGTGAAACTATGCAATTTCCAGCTGTAAAAAAGCTGGTCTAGTCTTGGATGAGCTGGAGCTTTAGGTTTTTCTTTTTTTCTCCCTCCTTTGTGGAATGAAAGCTTGGCTTTTGGAACAGCTCTGCAACCACAAAGGAAAAGCACACGGCTGCTGGCTGGGTGGTGTCCTGGCCCGGCTGAACCCTTGTAGCTGATTTTGTGAGACCTTCCAAGCCAGCCTGACACACACCCTGCCCATATTCCCAGCTCCAGAGCCAACGACTTCAAAAACTTCCGTTGTTTCTTTTATGAGAAACCAATGTCTCCAGTGGAATGGGTGCCCTCAGCTCAGCTTTAGTGGGGAAAATACACATTTCTTGTTGAAGGTTTCTGTGGCAAGGCACTGGCAGGGAGGCAGGTGCTGTTCTTGTGTATTTATTGCTATGATTTTATTTTGAAGTGCACACCTGCTAAAAAGCACTTTCAGCACAGAGCAAGATCTCCACTGGTAAATTTACAATTTCACTCTTCCCTCTATCATAGATTCTTTGTGTGGTGGTTACTGAGCTGGTTCTGTGGGTAACAGTTTGTGGAGGGAGGCAGGGAAAAAAACTTGGAAAATTTTATTTAAAGAAAATGGAAGGGAAATGGATACCCTGAAATACCTGGAATTTAAGTCTAGTTCTAGTACCCTGCATTAAAATGGGGAGTTACTGTTAGCTTGGCCTAAAAGATGCACTTTGAAAAAACCAAAAAACCCCAGGTTGTAAAGCTTTATCACATAGTGGGAGAGGGTAACACTACCTGTGAATTCCATTTCTTAGTAATGTAATTGCCATTTCTTTATGTGTCTTGCTTTTGGGGCTATGATATCTTGATGCTTACTTTTTAAACGCACTTTGTGGGCTTTTCCAGTGCTTCCTTGGCTCAGGTGCGGCAGCCCTACATCCAAAATGCATCAGTCCCGTCTGCAGCGCAGAGCTCCAGTGCCTGGTTACACCCGCAGTGCTGCTGCTGTCACCGGGCAGGTGACACCTGGAGGAGGAGCGGGAGCTGAGGAGCAGGAGGGTTTTCTTTCCATGGCATTCCCGCGTCTCCCGGCCGGGAAGGCGAGGCCGCTGCACTGCGGGGCCGGGCCGGGCGATGGCAATGTCGGGCTGGCTTTCACAGCGGGGACAGCTCTGCGCTCCCTCCAACGGGCACTTCTGACTCATCCGGCTGAGGAAAAGCTGGGACTGGGCCGTGGCAGCACCAGAAATAGGATGGGGAGGGGGGGAAGAAAAAAAAAAGTGGGTGCTGGAGCTGAGAAAAGAGTTTCCGCATCATTTGGGAAAATGCAGCGGTGCTGGAAATTCTGTGACAGAGACAAATGCTACTGGTTGCCCAGTGAGATTTTTTCCACCATGAGTCTGTTACATTGAATATATGAAATATGCTCATTTTCCAGTGCCTGGGCAGTTTTTAAAGTATAAGTTTGAGTACTGGAACATTCGTAATTAAAGTTTCTGGAGCATTTGGGGAGTAGTTCACTTCTGTTAACTTATTTTAAAATGTGGTAAAGAATGTATCTTGTAAATGGTACATCCTGCAAGTGTTGGAGTGGGCTTGCTGGAGATCAAAATCATTGGGTAAAAGAAGTGGTAATAATGCAAGATAGATCTTTCCTCTCCAGGACAATATCTCCTATGTGGAAGAAACTTTTCATTTGGTATTCAGGTTCTTTATTCCAAAAGGATGACATTTATTCTGTATGCACACACATACACTGTCAGCTCAAGGACTTGGCTTTTTCATTGTTTAAAAATAGGATTACTGTTTTGTTAATCTGATTATGAATCTAAACCATGTGGGCCTGTCAAGTGGACTCTCATGGGCTGGTCTGGGTGCTAATCTCACTGGAGGGAGTGGGATGGGAGCGTGGAGATGAGCACACACCATGTGCATCTTCTGCAGGTTTTTGGAGAGCCCCTGGAATACTTCCTCTAGCCATCCCTCAAGGAGCTGAAAACATGCTGCATAAAAATGTGTTTATGCTTGTTGACTGTGTTACAAAAGAAAAATACCACGTCTTTGAATATATAGTAACCATGATATATAGTGACAGCTATTGAGACCAAGAGCTGTATTAATAGGGAATGGCACTTAAATGTGATTATGCAGTATGACCTTTTACTGCCATCCAGATTAAAAATACTATCTAGGTAGGTAACAGTGTTATAATTCCACTGGAAGAACTAAGCCATGCTTTTCAAATTTTCTCTAAATCTGTTTTTTTCCCTTTTTTTCCAGCAGCTGCTCTATGCAAGAACAGGGGGCAGAAGCAGTAAAAGGGGCATGTGCCTGCTTAGCACTTTGGAACATGAGTTTGGCACAGTAAATGACATAAAGGGAGGCATGTGGATGTGCTGTGGGAGTTGTGTGAGCATTGCAGCATTCCCAGGTGGCACTCTTTCTTCACAGCTGGACATCTCAGCCTTACAGACAGGGGTGTGATCTCCTACAAAATCTGACCCTGCCTCCTTTCCAGGTCAAATCCTGGCACCAGGAAAGCTCCCCTTCCTTCTCCTGCCCCTTCCCAAACATTCTCTGACTGTCCCTGCACATGGTGAGCTCCAGGACCATAATTGTTCTGGAGGTGCAGCAAGGTGGGAACGTGCCCAGGAGAGCTCAGGGCCGAGGAGATCCATCAGGGGAATGTGCTGCTCTGCTTCATCATTTCCATGTGTGCTGAAGTTGTACAGAGTTCTCAGTTCTGATGACTAACTTCTTTTCTTTGTGGGAAGAAGCCAACTGACAGCTCCTCAGCCCCAGCCCCAACCTTTCTCTTTTTTATTGCCTTTTAACCAGGCTAGCTCTGCCTTTTCCTGTAATTCATAGGCCACAGTGGCTTTCCCTTAAATCAGGAGATTTTTACAGCTGATTTGGAGCAGGCAGAGAGTAATCTCATTCCTGCTCATGGACTTGCCACATGTGCCTCTCTTGGAAAGGAGTGGCCTTGCTTTTTTTGTGGCTTGAATGTCTCTTGATGTCGTGTATTTCAGGATCTGATGAGCAGGGTTGTAGGGAGAGGAGAGAAGCAGAGTTTAGTGAAGAACCTTTTTTAAGCACAATAAAAGATCCACGTGTGGAGAGTGGCACAGGCTGAGGATAACACCAGATTTCATGGAAAGGATCAATGCACCAGTAGTTAGAAGTAATTGTGAAGCACTGCAAACCCTGGGAAGCAGAAAGGAGTTACAGTGGTGGCTGAGGAGGGGATGGAAAAGACAGTCCAGCTGCCCTTTGCCAAGCAATGGTGTTCCTGCCCTTCCTGGCTTTACCTGCCTTGTGTGTATTCCAGTCTGAACTGCTCTTTCTCTCTTTCATCATTTAGTTCTTTTCTCCCTCTTCACACAAACACTTCTCACTCAATACATCTTTGTTCTGCCCATGGGCACACAAAAGGAGATGTCCTGCTCTTCTTTCCTGTTCACTGTTTGTATTTCTTATCTACTTTCTATTTGTATTCAATTTTATTGTTGTTTAATACTGTAAGTCTCGGTGGCACTTTCCTTGTGTTATTTGTGCTCCTGACATCACAAGTTCATCTGTGCTGACCTCAGTATAAGGATGGCACCGTCCCAAGAGCAATAAACACCCCAAAAAAGCTATTTTTTCAAGACATATCATTGAGGTCATTAGATAAGCAGATTGTGTCATTACCTGCTCAATCCCAGAAACAAGACAGTTACTTGTGATCATAAAAAATCTGTCATGGATGTCTCTCTTTGGTTTATTGCTGTAGAGTATTAATGTGGTGTGACATCCTCTTTTGCAACTGTTCTTGCTCAAGAGGTTGCTGCCGTTACACCAAGACTTTCTTCTTCCCAGCTCATTGTGGATGACATCATGATATAAATAAAATTTAAAATGGAAAAGACTGGCAATTGGAAAGGCTGAAGTGGGCAGGAAATGGAAGAAACCACAATGATAAGCAGGAGGTCAGTGGGTTGTACTTGATAAGTTTCTTCTGTTGAGACTGGAAGGCTTTTTTCCTGTGAAATGTGAGGGGTTTGTGGCTACAGCATTTGAAGCTCAAGCGCTCTGTAGATGAAATGCACATGGAGTCAGCGTGGACAAAGGAAAAAGAAATCTTCAGACAATACAGAAAAAGTCTTCGATCTGTTGAGCACTCACTATAGCCTGCAGATGGAAACAGACTGACCTATTTCTGGTTGGTTTAATTAGCAAGGTGGGAAAAAACAGAGACTGCCTGTGCCTTGGCTCCGTGTCACCACAGCTTGTGCTGCACAAATGCACCAGTGCCAGGCAAACAGGGCTGCAAGGCTGCTCCTCACTGCCTGCATCCCCTCGGTGTCCGTGTGTGCCGTGGGGCAGAGCCGAGGCTTGGGCACCAGGGACCTGACCTGGTGCCTATCCTGGATCTGTGTCCCATCCTAATCTGAAGGGCTGGGCTCCCAGTTCTAGCTCCTGAGCCAGGGTTTTGCCATGGGGTCTTGGTGCAGGGTGCTGGGATGCCTGTCCAGGGGTTATGTCCAGGGTCTCAGTCCCTGTCCCCAGAGCCGAGCATCCACTCTTGGCCTCCTGCCCCTCTCGGTCTGGACATGTGGGCTGAGGTTCAGGTGTCCCTGTTCTGAGGTCCCAGTGTGGGATGCTGGGCCAGGTTCTCTGTCCCTGTGTGGAACGCTTGGTTAAGGTGCCGGTCCCTGTCACAGAACCACCGGTTTGGGCTGGAAGGGCCCTTAAGGCTCATCTCACTCCAACCTCCCCAAAGACCAGGCTGTTCCAAACCCCGTCCAACCTGGCCTGGAACACTTCCAGAGATGGGGCGGTGCGGCTCCAGAGTGGTGCTCCGGGAGCTGGCTGCCGTCCCGGGCTCACACCGCGGCTCTCGGTGCCCCCTGCCCAGGGCCGTGTCCCGGAGCCCCGCGCGGGGCGGGGGCCGCACCGGGGGCTGCTCGGCGGCGGCTCCGCCGCGACCGGGCGGGGCCAGGGGCAGCGCGGCGGGGCCGCACACGGCGCCTGTGCCGAGGGGCAGGGCCGGGGAGGCGGGCGGCCCCCCGCTCCCCTCCCTCCGCTTCCCGTCCCTGCCCCTTCCCCCATGGCGGCGCTGGGCGCCTCGGCGCGGCTGGCGGCGGCGGCGGCGCTGTGAGCAGCGGGCCGGGCGGGCATGGCGGGCCGCGGCCGCCGCGCCTGGCTCAGCGTCCTGTTGGGGCTGGTGCTGGGCTTCGTGCTCGCATCGCGCCTCGTCCTGCCCCGCGCCTCCGAGCTGGCGGCGGCGGCGCGGCCCCACCGAGCCCGCCCGCAGGGCTGCCGCCCGCCGCCCGCCGCCGCCGCCGCCGCCCCGCCGCGCCGCCCCGGCCCGCCGGCACAGAGCTTCCTCTTCGTGGGGGTCATGACGGCGCAGAAGTACCTGCGGAGCCGCGCCGTGGCCGCGCACCGGTGAGCGGCGGGGGGCGGCGGGGATGGGGGTCCGCTGGGCGGCGTTGGGCTGGGGTCTGGGATAGGCTCGGGGTCGGTTCGAGTGGGCTCGACTCGTCTCAGCTCCGTTCGGTCGCGTTCAGCTGAGCTGGGCTTGGCTCGCTTCGGTCCCATTCAGCCGAGCTGGGCTTGGCTCGGTTCCGTCCCATTCAGCTGGACTCGGGCCGCTCGGCCGGTCGCCCCGGGGTAAAACCGCCCTGCCCGGGATGCCCTTGCAGCCGGGATGTCCCCGCCGGTCCCGGGGACCGCTCGCCCTTCCCTGGGCGGGTGCGAGCGAGCCCCGGTGCACGCTTAGCCCCGGGCGGGCTGCGGGCGGAGCGGTGCCCCGAGCGCTGCTGCGCTGCCCGGGCAGCTCGGCTGAGACAGAGGGGTCGAGTGAACCGCGCTGCCGCTCCCGCAGGGTCTGGCTCAGCCAGGTTCCACCTGGCAGGTGGCCCCGGTGACCTTGCCTGAGGGTCAGGCAGCCCCGCCGATGCGAGGGGACACTGACCGCCGGTCGCCGGCGGAGACACGGGCATCAAAGTGCGTCCCTCGGTGCCTCTGCCTTGGGCGCAGCTGCGCCACGCTGGTGCGGTCCTTGGCTGCTGCTTGTGGAGCGAGCTGACAGCCTGATGGTAACAGAAATAAAGTTTGGGGACCGCTGTAATCCCCTGGATAGGGAAGCAAAGACCACTGTGCCAAGCCGAAAGCGTGTGCTTGGGAATGAGACCCAGAAAAGGCATCTGGGAACAAAGAGTAAAACCCAGCTCGGCTCTCAGTCGCCTCTGAGGCTGGACAAGGTGGTGAAACGGGATGAGAGGAGTCAGCCTGGGTGAAACGCTCTGTGCTTCAGACTAGTTGAGCTAATGCAGGAACCAAGGTGTCCGAGCCGTGTGTTTGTTACCTGAGCACACGCAATTTTGGAGCAGGAACAGCCTTGGTGCTTTGCCCTGTGTGCCGCTCACCGTGGTCCCCAGGTGTAGCTGGGCATGGCCGTGAGTGCCACGGGCTAACGGGAGTTCTGTCAAAAGGCTCGGCAGCGTCAGGACAATCATCTCTTCTGTGAGAGATGTGTCTGTGGCTTTGGTGAAGCTCTCTGCTTTGCTGGGATATGCTCGTTGCTCCGGTGTGTGTGCCAGCAGGCAGTGCTGGGAGGCTGCACGGGAAGCCTGCTCGGGAAATCTAGAAGAGTTAAGAGCTAAAATGTCAGCTTGGGTGTACCCCAGCTCTGGCTGAGCCAGCATCCTCGGAGGAGCAGCCAGGAGCTCTGGGGCAGATCTTTAATAAAACATTCCCTTTAGTCTTGTGCTAGAACAAACCCTTCTCCGTGTCCTGCCTACCCTGGCTAAAAAGTACTTGGCCCTATTGGCCAGTAAGAGCAGGATGGCAAAACTATGTATGATGGGCCATCATACCATCGTTCCCAGCTCAGCTCTGGTTTCAGGAAATCTGTCTTTATATCAGCATCAAATGCAGTAAAATTGCTTTATTTGGGCAATCTGAGGCATATTGTCCACCAGCGATGGTTTTAATGGAAACTTAATTCCTTCTTCCAGCAGTAGACCTGTAATTAAGTTACAGAGAGCGCATGATTAATGCTTTGAAATGGGTGAAGGAATCTGTTTCTTCAGGGTTATGTTCTCCTTCACCATGTGGGATGGAGCATTTTGGATTGCTAATCTCACGGGCTGTGTAATTTAGATTTACATACGGAGAGGCTAGAGTCGTGTTGGGACATCATGTAGCAGGTTTTATGGCAGAATAGTTTGCCTAGCATCCATCAGATTTTGCATCAAGAATTCGGAAAAGGGTAATTTATCACTGTGTTGTCCAGAGTGTTCTCTGGGGAGGAATTCACTTTGCTGGTGTGGGAAGGATTCTTGTCCCTGGTTTTGCCTGTGCTTGCTGAACAGTCTCGTGCTGTGGCGGAGCTGGGTTTAGAGAACAAGATCTGCAACATCTGCTCACACAAAACAATGGCTCAAGATGCAACTTAACAAATTCAGCTAATGGAATCGGGCTCCTTCAGCCCTTAGATGGAGATCTGAGTATCGCTTTTTACTACACTGCTATTTTGGTTTAACCTCTAGAGATGATGTGTGTTCTTGGAAGAGATGGATAAAGAGACCTTAGTAGGGGCTAAATGCGTTTTTCTCACCTCCGCTGGTGAAAGAAATGAGCTAATGTCCTGGTGACAGGAAGACATCTTTGGGGGATGATGGGGAGGGGGGAAGAGGAAGACAAACCTGAAATCTTAAATGGCTTTTGATTGCCATGAAGTACTCAAGCAGACAATTGCTGGGATTACTACATTGACAAAGCATCCTGGTGAGCTGAATCGCTGGCACAGCCAGTGAAATGGGAAGCTGCTAGCAAGGCATTCCCGGGGTGGCAGCGTGTGCAGAGCCTTGATACCACGCTGAAAGGAATTAGGGATTCAGAGGCTGAATACCTCCAAATTGCTGTGGCTCAAAGGCCATTTACAGACACAGCTAAAAGGGACCGGAGCGGAAAGCATTTGCTGATCCTGGCTGCTGTGAATCCAGATAGGGTCTAACAAGAGGGGAAGCAATCCACTTCCTGAACATCAATCATGAGCAAAATGACCACTGCAAGGCAAACCAGGCCTGCGGGATTTTCGGGAGCTGCCGGCTCTTTGTAACAGTCGTGCTTTTGTAGTCGGTGAGGCAGAGAATAAGCTTTAGATCCACAGGTTTTTCGGAGGGCAGATTTGCAGCCTCAGCAGTGATTGCATCTGACAGCCAGGTTAGCAGAGCTTCCCTTCCAGGAGGCCGGTGAAGTGCAGCAGCAGGAGCCACGGTGTCGCTTGGAAGGACAAGGAATAGTCAGGAAAAGAGCTGGGCAGGAAGGAGTTAAAGGGATGGCTGGGGTTCAGGGAAAGTGCAACAATATGTACTAATGGTTTTGCAGTTGAGGGGAGTTGTCCTAAAAGAGCTGCAGGAAGGAGAGGATGGGAATAAGCAGTCTCCCAGAAGATTTAAGTCTGCTTTCTCAGGAACAGAAATATCAGGCAGTTAACCCTATTTTTTTTTTTTTCCCTTTGCGTAGCAACTAGATTTCCTGGGAAACGTGGCAGGAGAGTGGTGTGAATGCAGTTAATGGCGAGATGTCAGCGGCTGGGCTTTGGCAGGAACACACAGCCGCAGCACTTGTGGGGTTGGGACAGTCCCCACGGCACCGTCAGTGCCACGAGGACCATGAGTGATGCCCAGGGCTGGTGCTAAGCCACCCCTGTGCTGTGGCACAAGGATGGATGCCCTTCAGAGGCTCCGTTTCTGCCTCTGTTGGTGGTGGCTTACAGGAAGCTGTGTGTGCTGGAATCCGAATACCTGAGTGCTGGGAAGAGCTTAAGTGAAAGGCAGCCAGGAGGATTTGGGGTGTGGGGGAGTTTGTGTTATCTGGCTAAGCCTGCACTTACACGTTGTTGTGCTGTTCCTAAATTCAGATGCGCATCTGTTGGGGGGTTTGGCCCAAGTTCTGGTTGCTGGCGAAGGGATGTGATGGATTGTGGAGCTCCTGCCTCTCGGGAGGGGGCCCTGTGAAGTGACTTTGAGTGTCGTGCCAGCACAGTACGTGTTTTACTTCATGTGTGAATCACACCACAGTACTGCAGTAGTGAGAACTCGGTGTCCTGCTCAGGTACCCTCTACCAGAAACATGATGTACTTGGGATTTCGACCAGTAACCTAAAATTTGTGAGGATGTTTAAGGAATGGTATGAAAGAAACACATAGAGTAACTGTCATTGATATGGGGGGGTAAGTAAAACAAAGTCACGTACACCCCCCCAAAATAACTATAAGACCCAAAACTCTGAGACACTTGGACTTTGATCTTAGCCTGACCCACTGACAGTCTGTGTGCCTGTGGGTTATGGATCCATTTCTGTCCCTCTGTCCACAAGGAAGGTGGATGGATATGCATGGACTGAAAACTAGCATCATTTAAAATTGGAGGAGCTCAAAGGACTCCAAGAGCTGTGGAAGCTGCTGGGTTCTCCCCCAATTAAAGTTAAAGCAATCCTGCAAAAACCTTAAAGGAACTTTTCCTCAAAATTCAAATTCTGTAATGCAGATCTTAGTGACAGAGATCTGGAAATTTTAAAAAACTAGCTTTTGTTTGGTGACCTCCCATGTGTTATCTACAGTACCACGTGCAGGAGCAGCGTACTGGTGTCTGTGCCCAGTTCTCCTGCCTCACCTGTGGTTCGTTGCTTCCCCTGTAGCACGTGTTGTTGGAAGAATGGGACCTTGAAGAATAGTTATGCCAAACTAGCCCTAATTCAACATGGAATTTAGCTGCATTCAAGACATCAGTCTTTTATGTCTGTTGTCTTGATGAGTTCTTCACAAATTATGATTTTCTTCAGCGTAATTATACAAGATGACTATTTCTCAAAACTTTAGATGATTTCTCTGATCTCCTCTGAGGGAACTTCCTGAGCTGCAGACAAAAGCCAAATACATTTTTTTGTCATGGTCCTCAGCTTGGGTCTCTACAAAGGGAGCACTGTCTGCATAACACCACTGACTGTACTTCTGCCGAGTCTGCAGAGCTGATAAGCAAGATAATACAAATAAATAATAAATACTGGAAACTGAAGATAAAACATTCCAGATCTGTGCTGCTCCTGCTGCAAGCCACGCTTTTAGGCTTTTTTTTAAATGAAGAAATAACTTCTGACAACATTTCATGACTACAGTTGTGGTCACTTTTTAGAAAAGGCTGGGTTTTTTTAGCACTCTTGATGTGCACAGGGTTTTCTGTACTTCATGAGCACCTGGGAGCCAGCTGGGATAAAATCTTCTCACCCAGTTTGCTTGTGACTTGCTTAGCCTAGGGTAGGATATCCAGTGTGCAAAGCTGGGTGAGGGAGGGATAGTAAAATTGATTTGGTAGCCACCAGTACTGGAGCATTGCTGGACTCATGTCCTCTGCTTAGAGCTTTTTTTCTGAGGAAGCATTACACATTTTGTTTGTGTTTGTTTAATTTTCACTTTGATTTCCTTGTCAACACAGCCTTCTGGTTTGTGGAGTTCTGTGCCCTGTGCACTGAGAGAAACCAGGTCACACAGCATCGTGCAGGTTTTTTACCTCCTGGGGAGGGTAATAGAGAGCCTTGCTGTCCTGATTCATGCACATCCTCCTGCTTAAGCAGCAGATTCAGATTACACAGGGGAGATAAGGTTGGGATCTGTCGGGGTTTTTAAATGACCAGTTCAGTACAGTATCAGTTGTAGTCACAAGCTGATATTTCTCTCTGGACAGTCGAAATGGCTTTGACTGAAGCCCAGGTGGTCTCTGCAGGTGCAGATACAGGAGTCTGGTGGCAGAAATGTTGTGTCAATGTGTCATTTAAACAGCTCAGGGTGACGGGGCAGTGGGGAAGAAGGAGGGTGTCAAATTTCAATTAAAATATTTTTCCTGGGCTTTTTTATTATCAAACATACAATTCTTTTGCAGATACAACCTGAAGGTCTTATATTGGATAAACCTTGACCAGGAAAGTGCTGTCAGCTGGTGGAAGGGGATGTTGGTGGGGCCACAGAGATGGGGAGGTGTTGAGACAAGAGCTCTGTGCTCAGGAACTGAAGGGTCAGGTTGCTGCCCATAACCTGAGAGCAGACAAGGTAAACTACAGTGGAGGTGAGAGGACTGGCAAGAAATGCAGGTTTTACATACTAAACTAAAGAATTGCTGGTGATGGAGCCAGGTCTGATTATTTGCAACATTGGATAAAAAAGTTAAAAAGCAGCTTTGATCAGAATTCATCCCTGCAGTTATCAGTCCTTAGTTCTGCTGATAACTGGGGTCAGAAAAACCTACTTACACTTCATCTCACCCTCTGTGGTTTGGCTTCTTTGGCTGAGGGCAACAATGGGTTTCCTGAGCAAACTGTCTTCCCTGTATTCTGTCCCCAAAAAGGGCCACAGTGAGCTGTGGCTTCGACGTGAGGAGCAGCCCGTGGTGGCTGCATTGTCTCAGCCTCTGCCCCAGCCCTGCTCGTGTTGACACAGACACTTGGGCTGTTTTTCCATGTGGGAGTGTTTCTCTCAAAGCCATGGTCACAAATAACACGTTGAGTTGTCTCATCCTAGAAATTGTGTTGTTGCAGGAGGTGAACAAAGGCTCAGTCAAGCTTGGTCAGTGTGGTTGACAGGAGATCCCGAGGCTGCAGTAACATCGTGGTGCTGACCCAGGTCACACACGGGTCCTTGGGATATGGATATTGTTAGGGCATGGTCTTTCTGTCCCCACTGTGCTCTCCACACATGCAGGAATGTTTTACCCTTGGTCTAATGTGAAACCTAAATATGGCTCTCATGGAAAGATGGGCTCCAACTGGCTTTGAGATGAGAGGTTTAGTGCAATAAGAAGAATGGGAACAAGCATGCCTGGGTTTATGGATGTGCATGCATTTTGTTCCCTTTCTGTTGAATGGGAGCTCTTCTCTTGACAATAACTAATGGTTCTTGAGGTGAGGGTATTTATTTGGAGAGCAGGGAGTAAATTTATAGTGGGAATCAATTTGATTCCCCCAATCAACATCAAGAAGGGCTTGATGACTTCCAGACAGGAGCTAAAGTTTGGAGTGATAGAAGACATCCTGTGTTGTCCATAGATTATAGTGATGATAAAGGCAGATCTTTCAGGATATGAAGAGCAAGTCTGCGAATATATTGCTTACTTTTGAATAAAAAAGTAAATAAACAGAAATTTCCATAAGACTTTAGCTTATAACTTCAACCTGGTGGTTGTCTGCAAAGTGTCTTGGGTCCACCCAAAGCTTTGTCTCAGTGGAGATGAGCTGCATTTCTCAGTAACTCCTTCTGTCCTTTCTTTCTGTGACACTAAAATTTAAATGCATTATTAGTGAAGAAAAGTCTTTTAAGCTTAGACTGGGAGTTGATATGGGAAGAGCTGTGGATGATTTGTATGTGGAGTGTGGGTGTCAGAAAATAAACAGCAGAACTTCCTTAATAGTTAGTGAAAGTTCAGGATATGACCATGTCTCCTTTTAAAATGGGAAAATCTCAGTGCTTTAACAGGATATGATTTATAACCAGTAGTGCATTAATTGCATTGCTGGTGATTAAAGGCCTCATCACGTCTATTTTGAAGTCAATGGAGATGTTTCCATTTGCTTTACTCTGTGCTCTTCTGGGAAGCATGGCTCTAAACTTTTGCTCTGAAACACTACCCATGGCAGTAAGAAATCCAGAAGACAAAGCTTTTAAAGTAATTGGATGATATTCATTACACACAGTGGAGTTAGTGAGAAACTGTTAAGGTGTCAAAGTTGATGTTTAGCTAATCTCATTAAATACCTCTGCATTTTCTAATGGAACTTAAGGAATAATTCTCCTGAAGTATTTTTACATTTCAGGCTTTATATGATGGCCAATTCTGGAGATTTCAAATTTCAGATGGTCTGTGCTGCCCAGAATCTGCTCAGGTATTGGCAAGAATCCTGTGTGAGAGGCATCTGGTCAGAGTGACAGTGATGCATTGAGGGAATACTGTGTCCTTTACCTTGAGAGTGTTTTCACATCAGCTTTAGGTTATATTCTGAGTATAGTCGCCAAATAAAATTATAAATTATTCTCCCTGTATATAAAAAGGGGCAAAACGTGTTGGTTTACCAACTAAAATAGTTTTCTGTGAGGAGTATGTGATCTCTTATCCCAGATAGAATCTTGGAAAAGGGTACTGCAAGCTTAAAATTAATAATTTTTGAGGGCGAGGCTGTAGCAGTTATGTGTCTGAAAATCCTCCCTGGAGGAGGCTGTGCTCTGCCTTGAGGAATCATCCCACAGCTCTTCCTGCACTATCAGTGACCCAGTTTGCCCACGCCAGATGGGTTGGATTTGTCAGAGGGGAGCACGGAAGGTGTGGAGCAGATGTCTGCTTTGCACAGGAAAGGCTCCTCTTCTGTGCTGTTCCTCTCCACTAAAACCTGCAATGAAGTGTCTGGAAAGCTGCTGGAGGTGCAGGTGCTGGGTAGCACTATGGTATTGTGGGAGTTACAAGTTTTGCAGGCATCTCTTAGAACTTTGCTGGTACGGACAAAGCCACTTGAAGTATTTCTGTCCGTGCTCTGTGCTTTGCTTCTCCACACACCATCTGGAGAAGTTGCTGTTTGGTTGGTTTCCCAAGGGATGCCATTTCCTTAAAAGTTCATGTGAATTTACTCTATGGAAGTCTGTATTTCTGAGTGCACATTTGAGCTTTTGGAGAGGCTTAGAGGGAAGGGAAGGTGGCTATGATGCTGAATAACTGGCAGGGAAGCTTTGGAAGCAGTAAATTCAGTTGTACGTGAATTGTTGGCCTGTATTGACTCCCCTCCGTATTTTGTGATCAATAGCCGTTAGTGCACAACTGAGTGCGCTTAAGGAGTCCTGCTTCCCACTAGTGAACTGCTGCTATTGAATTATTTTTGTAACATATGGCAGTGCAAAAATGGTACTCAGATGCTTGCCATATCAGAATTTCGTGTATGTTGTACCAATTGCTGTGTGTGCCATGTGAATGTCCTCATTTGGGTGGTAAAAAAGAACCTTTCAAGGTGTTCAAAAAAGAAAATTTGTAAAGCAGGTGAGCTGTAATCTATGGTAGCATTCTCTGCCTGCCTGGTTTGCGGATTTAATTATTCCTTCTTGTCTTTTCCAATCTAGAACGTGGTCCAAAACCATTCCTGGCAAGGTCGAATTCTTCTCCAGCGAGGGTTCGGACACCTCCATCCCCATCCCCATCGTGCCACTTCCAGGTGTAGATGACTCCTACCCACCCCAGAAGAAATCCTTCATGATGCTCAAATACATGCATGACCACTACTTGGACAAATACGAATGGTTTATGAGGGCGGACGACGACGTTTACATCAAAGGGGACAAACTGGAGAACTTCCTCAGGAGCCTGAACAGCAGCGAGCCGCTGTTCCTGGGGCAGACCGGCCTCGGCACCACGGAGGAGATGGGGAAGCTGGCACTGGAGCCGGGTGAGAACTTCTGCATGGGGGGGCCAGGAGTGATCATGAGCCGGGAGGTGCTGCGGAGGATGGTGCCGCACATCGGAGAGTGCCTGCGGGAGATGTACACCACCCACGAGGACGTGGAGGTGGGACGCTGCGTGCGCAGGTTCGCAGGGGTGCAGTGTGTCTGGTCCTACGAGGTAAGCACCAGGGGAATGGGGACGTGTCTTTTGTGGGTTTTTTCTCAGCTCTCACCTCCCTCTGCAGCGTCGCCATCCAACCCTGCGGTTTCTGCGCTTTTTGTTCCCTGCAAGTGTTACCCTACAAAAATTTGGAAATGCAGCAGTAAGGAGGGAAATGGAAGAATATTCATTATTCATAACATATTTTTATTTAGATAGAAAGGGAATAAGCTTAAATCAAAATGGCCTCGAGTGCCTGCAGTCCTGACTGTCCAAGCCTCTTTTATCTTCTTTAGCCGAGTACGTCATGGTGTCAGCATGGAAAATGGATGATACAATTATTGCGTTTCTTACTGCAGTTGAAATGTGTGGAGCTGACAGATGTTTGCTCTGACAGTGACAGTTTTTCCCCAAACTGGAGATGTCTGATGGTGGCTGGCACTGTAACTCTGCATGCTGAGTTGCCTCCTGGCAGCCCAAATCTGTTGTTGCTTCGGGCACTCTCTGGCAGCCCCATCCTGCAGGCGCCTGCTCAGCAGGTCCTTGACGTCAGCAGGGACAAGCCACCACTCTTACTGAAACTCATAGTCTGCCCCCACTGATGTGCCTGCAAGTTCGGCATTTTGGGGGAAAAAGTTGAGAGAGCCTGCTTGTGGCAGGGTTTCCTGCTGCTGTTTGTTGGGAGCTGGCAGCTCCCCACCGGGGACTTCTCCTGCCTGGGTTTGCTGGGCTCCTTGAAGCGACTCCTGGGTGTTTACAGACTGCCTGGTTGAAAATATCTCCTGGACTTGAGCTGCACTTTCACCAGGGCAAATGCTAGTAGGTCTGCCTTAGAAATATGGGAGAAGTTGAAAGCAGAAGAGAGGTTGAACAGTTTGTCTCTGTACGCAAACATTTACGACCTGACGCAACTACAGCTTTGTCCTTTTATGAGATGTGGTGAAGGGAGATTCTTCTGTCTGCGTGACAGGAGCTGCAGTCACAGTGACAGAGTGGTCACAGACAGTGACAGATACTGCTGCTGAGCAACTCGTTCCCTGGCAAAGACTTGGGTTTAACTTTTGATGCTGAATTTCTGCCCCCAAAAGTAGTTGCTTTGTTTCAGTTCACAGTTCAATGGTGGGGAAGCCTCTGAAGAAGGGGAGGGAGGTTTTCAGCTGCAGTTCTTAATTAATATCTTTTGTGCCTGGTGATTTTCTGGACTAACAGTGCCTCTCCATGTTCCCTGCTTTCAGACCTGGAGCTAGTTTATGTCTTGCCAGCATTGTGGTTTAGCCATTCGTAAAGAGTCAGTAACTTTTTCCACAGTTTCTAGCAGCATAAAATTTTTACTACAGACATTCAGAGTTGAAATAACTTCTGCTGTGAATGCCTGTACCATCTGGCATTTGATAAGTTAATGAAGGTCAGCATTTTGGTACTATTGAAACTGGCAAAGAGCTCCTAAATTCAATATAACCAAATGTTGGATTGAAATAGCCAACGATAACACACAACTGCACTGGGAATGCTGTCTGACAGAAATAGATGGGGTTTTCTCATAATCAGTTTTGTTTGATGAGCTTCTGTTATTATCCTTAATGCTGGATTCTCCTAAGTGCCATGGATTGCTTAAAATTGGCTTGTGTGAAGTATATAAACTGTTGGGTGTTCAGAAGTAAGCCATGAGTGTGGGATGTTAAGGCTCAGCTGTTTGGGAAAGTATGGGAAGAGTTTCAATGATGAAAACACACAGCTTCTGTAAGAAATAGGTCCACTCTCATTTAGTTGTGGCTTTTCAATTTAAATACCTGTCACCTTTTTTGATCTGGTCCCCTCGTTGCCCAGATGAAATGTGCCTGGTATTTTATTTCAGATAAAGCAATAGTTGTGTGAAAAAACACAGCTGTTGCAACAGCTGTGTTAGGAAGGCTTGGTGTAAAAGCGACATTTTCCATGTCTTGTATGTTCATAAACATCAAGTAACAGGCCACTGTAAGTGAATTGCAGAATGTTGTGTTTTACTGAGCTCCTGATGGAGAAAAAGTTTATCTGTGCCTGCTCTGCTGGGACACAGCCACTGCATCCTTCACAATTCTCGTCAGAAGAAGAGCTGTGACAGCACAAGGCTCAGCAGACAGAGCAGTGCTGGCTTTAGAAATCCCAAACCTCAAACTTCTCCTTTACAGCCTTCACTTCCTATTCTGAAGAGGCTCAAGTGGCAGCACAAGCGAGGAGCTCAGGTCTCTGCAGTCACCCCCCCAGCTCGCTGGGTTTTGTTCTTAGCATCTCCAGGGTATGAAGTGCCCTGCTGGTCCTCACTGCGGGTGGCTTTTCCCTGCACTGTTCTTGTGGTGGGCTCCCTGCCCAGAATCATTTTACTCATCTCCACAACTGTCACTGCCCCCTTTCTCTGATTTTAGGATCCCACAATGTCTTTACTGTGCTGCTCATCTTCGCTGGCCCTGGCTCTGGTGGTGTGCCCGAGTGCATCACCAGGCTCTGTGTGGCTTTTCTGCTCACAGCAGTCTGTCTCAAAACCCTTTTTTTCCCCCCTTCCTGTGTTTCTGTCACTCCACTGCTCTCTGCAGTGCCTCTCACACCACTTCATTAGAGTGGCATCGGTTATTGCCCGTTTCAAGACTTGGGAGGGTTTGTTCACACTCTTCCTGCCTTCAGGAGCTTTTCAGCAGACACAGAGGAGGAATTGACACCATCATTCTTTGGACTTCCTGTGTCATCTCAGCCCAGAAAAGCAGCAGCAGCATGTGCAAGGTTGAGGACCACTGCAGCTCTCTGGGCTCTGGGGAGCTCTGAGCCACCCAGGCTGCTGCTTTGGGAGCAGTTTGCAGCCCACAGTGGATTTTAAGCTCCTATGGCCAGGCTTGGAGCTGTTACTTGGCACAGAATTATTTGACACAGGTTGAGTGAGTAACAGATGAAACACGGCTGTTAAATGTAAGTTCTTTAGGGCAAGGATTATCATAATTGTAAAAACAAAACCCAGATTGTCGCTGCTGTTTGACAAATAGCTGTAAACTCAGGGCTCTATAGGGTGGAGCAGCCAAAGCCAGAGAGTTTGTGCAGCAAATGATAAGAAAACAATCATGAAAAGAATGGAGCTGTGAAATCTCTGAAGCTTCCAGAAGGGAGCTTGAGAGTGTATGAAGAAATATTGAGTGTGGTCCATTTTTTTGAAGAGAGCTAAAGGCTTGGAGTGAACTTTCTCAGAAGTGATTCTGCATTTCTAGTGAATATTGGTACTTTAGACTTCTGACACATTTCTGGATGTTATTCTCAGAAAAAGATTGCTTACTTAAATCTCCTTCTTTCTTCTCTTTCCTCCCACCAGTAGCTCTTCCAGTCCATCTCATATGGATCAGAGGGACATGGAAGTTTTGTTTTCTCCTACACTGCCACGTGGTGCCAAGCAGGGTCTTGGATTTCAGCCTGAGAACATGTTCTGGTTTTGATGACAGGTTTTTCCTTTGTGATTTAAAACATCCCACAAGTATTGTTGATGTCAATTTTGTGTCTAATATTTCCTTTAAATGCACCTGAATTACAAAGTCATTGCTGTGTAGCTTGTTGTTTCAGCCTTGTTTTGCAGCTGTTGCTGAGTATTATTCTAATTTGTGGTTAACAGCTTCACAACTTCATTACAGGCTCTTTGTAGCTGCTAAAAGTCAAGGCAATGCTGATGTATCTCATTAATTTCTTCAGTATTAAAACCCATCTGACGCACGCTGCTCTCAGGTGATACCTTCCTCTGTGTCCTACAGTGCAATAGAAACAGGTGGATCCAATGGAGCATCTTTTGTTACCTCTGACAGGTATAAATGACCAGTTTTGTCTCCTGTTCTGATTGAGGTTGTAGGAGAAATGAGGTGAGATACAGCAAGTGTCTCTGTGGAGAAAGCAGTGCTCTCCTCCAAACTGCAACAAGTACTCTAAAATGTCCTGAAAGGAGACAGGATTTTTTACAATATACATGGAAAAGAAGGTATGACAAGGGCAGCAATCACACCAGGAAACGTGAGCAGTGAGGAAGAGCAGGTCCAATCTTTTGGATGTTGGTCAGGGGAAAAAGTAAAGCAGTGGTGACCCTGAATAGCAGGGGGCTTTGGGAGAGGAGGAGTTTGAATTAACATTTTGTGTGGTCTTTCATCTGAAGTAATTGAAGATAATTGCTACTCTGAAATTCACTGAAGTTAAGAAAGCCCTTAAAGTGCACATTATATCTGCCAAGTACACTGGCAGTGCCAGAATGTACCATTTACCATTTCTGGGATGGATGTTCCCAAGGGCAGAACTGAAGTTTATGGTTTTCTATAACGCAGTGGGGGGAGGCGGCAAAAAAAATCATTATAGTCATGCAGTGATTGATCAGATCTGAAAGACTGGAAGGAGGTGCTGCTGTTAATGGCTAACCTCCAGTTCCTTTGCTTTATCCTCTCTGAAAACCTCTCATTAACAAAAAGGAGGTTGATCCTGTTGTGGCTGGGTGGTGAGTGACCCTCAGCTCAGAGCAGGGCAGGATGGGGTCTGTGAGCAGGTGCTGGGACAGGATGTTCTGGAGCACTTCTGTCCTCTGCAGACACTGGGGGCAGTGGGGTTGGACTGTGGTGTTTGGTTGTTCCTGCTCTGTGAACTTCTCCTTGGACTCCCAGCCAGCAAATGAAAGATTTGACTTGTCTTTGTGCTACGAGCTTCCAGCAGCACTCCTGAAATCAGACATTGTTATATGTGTGTATTGTCCTGGCTTCAAAGCTTGGACATCTTCTGAAGTCAGAGCATGAAAACTTGGCAAACGCTGACAGCACAGACACTTTATCTTGCTGTATGTGCAGCCCACTGCATCTCTTAATTTCAAGAAACCTGTGATGTGAATTGTGTGTGAGAGAGGGAGGATACAAGCATGCCCAGAGTTTTAGGGTGGATGTTTATAAACCACCTATCCTCCAGCACTAAATTTTATCTTAGGAACGCCTCAGAGATGTCTTTTTGGCTTCAGATTAAGATGTTAGTGGGTGGCCATG